CCCCCCCCAGCCAGTCCGCATCTGGGTGGGGAAATCCTCAAGCAGCCAGAGGTTGGCTGTGAGCTACCCCAGAAGCACGATGGCTCCCAGCCAGATCTCAGCTGCTCGAGGATTTCCCCGCCCACCCAGGGGCTGGTTGGGAGCTTCCCCAGAAGCAAGACATCTCCCAGCCAGCCCCGAGCTGCACAAGAAAGCTCTGCTGGGCATGGGACTTGTCCCTATGCGCATGGAGCCTGGACAGTTCTGCAGCAGCAGCTGTCTCCCAGACCCCTGCATATCAGGACCCCTCCCAATGTGTACAGGGCCAGCTATTCCTGAAGGCGGCACAGCTCTCCTGGCCCTGTGCACATTGGGATTGGCCTCTGTGCTTCCTGCCAGTGCCTGTGCTAGTACCCCAGGGGAGTCTGGAGCTTCTCCTGGCTGCTGTAGGGAGTCAGAGCAGAGCTGGAGCAGCCCTGTGCCAGGCTGTTCCTGTTGGGAGCAGATTTGCTCCCAACAGGAAGCACATGTAGAGCTCCCAGGGAAAGCTTACTGTGCAGCATTTTACTGCACATTAAGCTTTTATAGCATTAATAGCATGTGCAGAGACACCTGAGGCACCCCTTTTTAGGCTTGAGACACTCCTCAGAAAATGCCAGCTCTTAGTGGTTATTCACTTTTTTTGACTACAGAAAAATAGTAGAGCAATTCTTCTGTTGTAAAGATCTTGGAAAGCCCATAACAGATCCAAATGCTTTTGACAATACAGATTCCTATTTGAAATTTCTGGGTTAATCTTGTGAATCATGTTTATATACCTAAAGTGTTAAGATTGCATAGCACCCCACAGCACCCTAGTTGAAGATCTTTGTGTTAGGGAGCCGAGGGGAGTGTATCAGACTTATATTATATCACCTCATATCATCTTTGATTTTGGTCTTGAGCTTAATGGGCTGCACTGTAAAAAACCAGGGATAATTTGCCAGGACACTATACAAAAAAAAAAATACTGATTGCGGTACATAATACTAGGGAGGCTCAGGACAGTATAATTCAAACCACCTATCTGTCTGTGTGAATAATTCCAGTTGATCCCCAGCACATATAATTGCAAAGAACATTTTTTCTTTTTTTTTCTTCCCCTTCAATTGTTGGCAATTATTGCATCTCAATCAGCACAGATTTTCTTGTAAAATATCAGCAATATCTTAATCAACAATCATGCTTCTCAGACATATAGTGTGGGTATCTCCCTAACAGAGAAGGCTTTGAGGTTCACCCACCAGTAACATAGAATCTTAAAAAAGTTAAATAATTAGTCTTAACTTTTTGTAACCATCTACAACTTACCAACAGCTTTGCACAGGGGTCCCCAGGAAGTTCTGTGCGTGGCAATAATTTCGCCTGTTTTCAGGGATCGAGCACCATTGCAGGTCTGTAAAAATCCCCCAAAGATCTATGTTTAATCACAAATGTTATACCTTATGCCTTTTAATGACCACCTTAAAGAATTAAGAATTTATCTGGCCATCAAAGCCCAGGTACTGCCTTCAATCTCTCTCAACAATAACCTTTGGCCTTTAAAAAGTAGCTAAAAAGAGAAGATCAGAGAGAATGGCACTAGCAAGATATGCTGTGGTTTGCCAGTCACAACACTGGAACCTCCATGAATGGGACTTTGGAACAAATAAGTAGCCCAGTGGTGCCCTAGAGATGCCTAAAAAAGAAAGCCCAGAGACCATGTTTTTAGTATTTTCTCTGTACAGTGTAGTAATATGCTAGCTAGCTTTCTCCTCGTCTCTTAGGACATGGGAAAAAGGAATTATGAGTTGCAGAATGTTTCCTCAACAACATTGATCATTATTATTATTTAGATTGCAACATACTACACATAACAGGTACAGTTAGATCAATATAAGTGCTCCTATAAAAGACTGTGCCTCTCCTGAAGAGTTTACAGACTAATCTGAGACAAGCTTTAATGTGTAAATGCAATATGCAAAAGGAAGAATACAAAGGTAAGCCCAAAGGGTAGCTTGACTATATCAGAAAGTTTCACCTGTTATACTGATATACCAAAAGGTGAACTTAAACTAATAAATGTATAACTCCCTATATAGATACCTGTTTTAGTCAAAGAGTGATTTTTTTCCTCTCGTTTTCCCTAAGCACCTTACAAAACAGAACAAACTAAAGTCAGTAATGCCACTGTGATTCTGGAATAAGAATATCCATCTAAGGGATTACACCAGTATAAATGTGTCAGCTTAAATTCACGTAGTAACTTATATCTGTATAATTTTCCCATGCAAACAAACTCTAATACATATTTAGGTAGAAAATTATTACGCACTCTGTTGGATATTTAGCTGTAGTTTCTAATCATATAATAATACTATATTATAATGTGGCGGGCTTGCCAACAGCAGCCCAATTTGCTAGCTTGGAAGCGCTCTAAGCTATTGGTGGGGCTTTCCCACCAATCAGGTGATGGCAGGGGAGGCTTGCCCCGCCCCTACCCAGGGGCAAGGTGAAGAGCCAGACCTGAGAGGGGCCTAACCCCCTCTCTCTCCAATTAGTCCATTTGCAATCTGGGGGTGTAGCCCCTGAGGGAATAAAAAGGCAATGTGCCAGGCACACAAGTGGCTGCAATGAGGGACAGAGAAGAGGGTGAAGAAAAGCTGACAGAGCTGGCCAGTGGGGCAGAGCTGTTGCCCATGAAGAGCCCAGAAGAAAATCGTCGAATGGGGAGCGGCAAGCAGCCACGTCCCCCAGCCCCACCATGAGGGAGTGCGGAGAGCAGTGCATGCAGGGTCCAAGAGGGACCAAAACCCTGGAAGCTGCATAAGGCAGCTCAGGTCTCCAAGCCCTGGCATGAGGTCAGGCATTTGGCACATAGCTGGTGCTTGGAGGGTCTGAGAGGGACTGAGGCCCTGGGAGCTGCATGAGGCAGGTTGGGTCTCCAACCCCTGGCACAAGACCAGGCAGTCAGCATGCAGCCAGTGCGCAGAGGGTCCGGGAGCAGACAGATACAGGAGCTGCTCCAGGCAGCTCAGGTCTCTAATCCCCAGCACAAGGCTGGGAACACAGTGCAGAGGTGGTGCACAGAGGGCCTGTGAGCGGACCAAGACCCCGGTACCACACAAGGCGGCTCAGATCTCCAACCCCTGGCACAAAGCGGACACATGGCAGAGAAGAGCCATCAGTGCACAGGACAATGCACAGGGCCTAGCACACTGCCTTTTTATTCCCTCAGGGCCCAGGCCAGAGGGAGTCGTGGGCAGCTGGGGACTTCCCTGCCCGGGGAAACCAGCACAGCTTCAGTGGGCCCGGAAAGTTGTGAGTTGTCCCAGGAAGGTGAATTCCCACTTGTCGATGTTGAATCCCATCCTGTTCTCATCCACCCACCCCTGTAACCTGCCTAGGTCTGATTGTAGCCTATTCCTTCCTTCTAGCGTGCCCACATCCCCCCACATCTTAGTGTCATCAACAAATTTGAACAGGGTGCTTTTTACCCCCTAGTCCAAGTCGCTGATGAAGATGTTGAACAGTGCAGGCCACATCCCTCCAGGTCAAAAATGACCTGTTCACCACCACTCTCTGGGTGCGGCCCTTCAGCCAGCTGGCGACCCATTTGACTGTGTGGGTGTCAACACCACAGTCCCCCAGTTTCTTAATGAGAACGGGGTGAGAGACAGTGTCAAAGTCTTTCTAGACTTTTGGAAGGCCTATGTCCACTGTTACCCCTGCATCTAAGGATTTGGTGACCTGGTTGTAGAAGGCCACCAGGTTGGTTTGACAGGACCTGCCTCTAATGAACCCATGTTGGTTGCCCCTAATCATAATCTCCCCTGCTGGCCCCTCGTGGACATGTGCCAGAATAATTCTCTCAAAAAGCTTACCTAGGATTGAGGTAAGACTAACTGGCCTATAGTTTCCTGGGTCATCCTTCCTCCCCTTTTTGAAGATGGGAACCCCATTGGCCCTCTTCCAGTCCTCTGGCACCACACCAGAGCACCATGAGTGCTTGTAAAACCGTGCCAGGGGTCCTGCAATGACCTCAGTCAATTCCCTTAGTACTCTAGGGTGGAGATCATCTGGACCAGCTGACTTGAATACATCCAGTCCCTCCAGAAG